AATTTACTATATATAGTAATTATATATAGTATTTGGAAACTAAATATATATATAAAAACAAAGTTTAATGAAAATTTAAGAATAGAGAATACATTGTTTTTATTTATCTGAGGTGCACTATGGAAAGGAGTGTTCTTTTATCAGGAAGATAAAAAACAGGGACTGTCCTCAGAAAGGCAACAAGCACAAAATTACAAGTGGGAAATCCCCAGTAATGGTAGATTTTTTTTACTGGATCATTATACATGCCTTTGTATAAAATATTGCAGATGTTAGATAATGAATAATTTGAGAGACTTAGTGTTCATAGAAAATTTACAGGCTTTGTATAATCTCTAAAATTCTAGTCAATGATTTTGCTATTTTATTTGTGACAATTACAGTGGTAAGTAATATATGAGATAGTTTGTTCTATTAGTTTACTTCTCTGATAAAAATGTCTTTCCTATATTAATCTAAAAATGTACATTGTTGTAACTTACAGAATAGATTTTAATTATTTTATATTAAGAAATGCAAGGAGCATTTTTCATTCAAAATACAGAAATGTTTCTTTATACAGAAATGTTATCTACCAAATTAGTTTTCTGTCCATAAACTTTAGTTCTTCTAACCCCTTTTTCCATTTTTATTATTACAAAGTCTTTGCCATCGTTATTTTGTTTCCCTCTCTTCAGTTCCTTTGTATGTATAGATTTCTATTTCAATTCATATTGGACAATGGGCTAGTGAATGAATTTTCAGCACTCCAGGACAGATTTTGGTAAAAGTATCTAACAAGCATAAATATTACTTCAAAAACTTATTTGCTGCATTAATCTTCCGTATCACAACATGATGATGAGATATAGAAAGAAAATTTCTGGTACATTTTCTTCTTTAAAGTCACAAAATATTAGGGAACTCCTTTTTACCTGTCTTTGGCATGGCGAGCTGACCATCTTTTCTATGATCCCAAAGGTTTCTGATTAACATGCTGAATTTTCTTATAGCTCATTTCTACATATATTGATTCTGTATATGCATGTCATTCCAACTAGATTATACTACCCTTTAAGTTAGGGAATATTTTGTTTACCTTTGTTTCTCCAGTACCTATTACAGGACCTAGAACATATTAGGCACTTAATAAGCTTTGGTTAATAGACAAATATTAACTTATCTCTGAAATATTTATTAACTACTTACTGTGATATACACTTATCATTGAGATTCAGAGAAGTAAATAGAGATATCCAGACACATTACAGAGGAATAGACTGCTACAAACTCAAAGGACTCAACAACTTTACACACATCAGAGTACTTACGAGCAAACTGGCACACTCTTACACACACGTTATCATAAACATAGCCCATTCACACAGAGAAGCATGATGTGGAACTTGCACATGCTCTCATAAGCATAACCTCATCAGCCACCTCTTTCTGTTAGAGTCATTCCCCTCATATACCTCTTGGATGCAATAGCTTGAGCTACCTACCTTTCACCCAACTCTTCAGCAGATAAGCAGAGTCCCATTTAAAGTATGACAAATGGACTGAATATTCTATTTCAGTTTTCAGGTGATATAATAAAACTGAGGTCAAACCCTCTCCTCACTTGCACCGCAAATTCTGTTTGTATGGATATATATGACTAAGTTCTACATTGTGTGATTTTCAGTAAAATATTTAGTCTACTAAATAACCTACCTAAGTTCAATATTTTCATCTGAATATTAAGAATTATAACAAAAAATAACCTAAAAATGTTGTGAACATCAATTGGATAAAAATATGAGGCTCTCAGAATATCAACAAGTAACAGTAAGATCTGCAAACATAACTGATTGAATTCTCTCATTAGTATGTTCTGGACTTGTGTGAGGTCTACATTCTACATTTAAGCTTTTCAAGCCACCCTAGAAAAAATACCCGTCATCTCCCACTTATGGAGTTGAATATTTGTCTTAAGTGCATCACATTTACTTATCTCTATTACAATTCATTTTGCTGGTTTTGTGTCCTGCCCTTCTGTCAACCATACTTTTGTATCTAGTTAGTTGTTCAGCAGTCATAATATTTGATAATGATGCCAGAGGCTTGGGTGAGTTATCAGAGAAGTCAAGGCTAGTTAATGAAACAAGGGGCCACAACAAGAACTCAGATAAAGGATGAACTTGACTGAGAATGATGTGTCATGAGAGAGCATTCACAAGATTTATGGAGAATAAAGGAAGGAAGAGAGTGATAAATAGAATATAGACCCGAATGATTTCTATAAGGTTCATGAGTAAGAGAGAGAGAAAGACAGGAGGATCTTGCATTTAAAATTTGTGTGTGGGAGAGCCTGGCTGAGGAAAATGTCTTAGGCACAGACAAAGAAAGGATGGCCAGACTGAAATGTAAGTGGAGGCTAACAGTAACCAGGTGAAAGGTATTGAGAAATGGCAGGAAAACAGTTAACATTTATGTATCGGGACATCCATATGAGAAATAAGACTCAGCAATTAAAGAAGAATAAACTATTAAAAAAACAACAACCTGGATGAATCCCAAAGGCATTATGCTGAGTGGAAAAAGCTACTCTCAAAAAGTTACATAATGTATGATTTTTGTTATATGACATTCTTGAAAAAATAAAACTATAGTAATAGAAAGTAGATCAGTGATTGCCAGCAGTTAAGAGTGGGATGGATATATGACTATCAAAGGTAGTATGAAGGAGTTATTTTGGGATATTGAAACTGCTCTGCATTCTTAACAATTCAATTTTATATTGTACTAATTGAGAGAGAGAAAGAGAACCAGGTCTAATACCTTGTTTTACAGATAGAGAAACTGAAGACTGAGGTGAGGTCTGGAGAAGATCACATGGCTAAGAGTGTTTCTGAAGACATCATCCCCAACATGTATCACCCATTCCTCCCACACACACACACACTTGCATGCAGAGCCACGTCCATCTCCACCATCCATCCATAAAGGAAGGGGAGGGGACTAGACCTGGAGAAGGGAGCCTCTTAGACCTTTAGTTAATTTTAATTAAGTGTTTGGAAATGTACAGATTTAAAAAAAACTTTTTTTTTCAGATTTCATGCAAAAAGAAAATCTTCCACATCTTCATTACCATGTTGAAATTATTAAATGTCTAAAACTACCACCTCTCATCCATAAATCAGAATTATTAATTGCCAAGTTCTGTGTCTATAAACAGGATGTTTGAAAGCTGTATGTTGCTTCGATCCTTTTATCTCTTCTCAAGAACTGCTGAGCCAACATGAACATGCAACAAATTAATTCATGTAAAGCTCTTGGAATAATGCCTGAAACAGGATGTTTGCTATGATTGTGAAAAATTGGCATCTTTCATGAATTAAATAAATCTGTCCTATCAGTTTGTTCTTTATTTCAACGTCTCTGGTTATATTTTGCTTGCCTGTTTGTGTGGTTGATTAGTTTCCACTTGACAGTAACCAGAGGGGAAGGGAAAGGGGGATAATAGAGGAAATAAAGGGAAGATTAGTCAAGAAACATGTATAAAGGACTCATGGACAAAGCCAAAGCAGGGTAGGACTGAGGATGGAGGTGGGGGAGGGTGGGGCGGGGGAAAATGGTGGCGAGAAAATGGAGACAACTGTAATTGAACAACAATAAAAGAAAGTGAAGTAAAATAAGAGGTACAAATTTCCTATTGTAAAATAAGTAAAGGTGATGTAACGTGCAATATAGGGAAAATAATTAATGAAATAACTTTGTATGGTGATAAGTGGCTATTAGGCTTATTGTGGAGATCATATCATAAAGTATATATTGAATCACCATGTTGCACACCTGAAACTAATAGTGTATGTCAACTATACTTCAATTTAAATAAATATATTTTTAAAAAGTCAGTCCTACTTCCATCACACAAATAAAATTGTGTATTTTTTAAAAAAGACTACAATGAAGCTTTGGAGGCTTATAGAATGACAGACTGTTGAGTTGTTCTTGCAAAGATCAGACGCTTACCGGAAAACATAATTACTAGTCTGGCCGATAGGATAGAGAATAAGCTGTTCTGATTTGATAATCCTTTCAGAGGAGAGCGTAGACACAACTCATATGACCCCTGCTTTTGTGTCATTGCTGACTCAAGATGTACTGTAGAGAAGGCTCTTAGGTTTGGCAAACTGGGTACAGAGGTCAGAATGAGAACTGAGACTAAGAGAAGTGGCTGGAAACTGCGCTTATTTGGAAGGACACTGTTTTTACTGAAGTTATTCTGTAAATGTTATATATGGCTGGAGCAATAGGTAAATATTGATTTGTTAATTGAAAAGAATTTCCAAAGGAAGAATTATTTAAAAAGTATGAGTTTTATTTAAAATTGGAATCTATACATGTACACTTTTAAAAATCAATATTTTCAATATTTATTGTTTTTTTACATTGATTTTTATCCATTTATGCAGTCTATTTAAATATCAGTGGAGTGTAAAATCATATGGATTTGCCTTTCTACCTACCACAGGAGTAAATTTAGGTTATCAACATGATCCCATCATTTTCTTATTTATACTTAGGTTTCTCTGTTTCTTTTCCTGAATATAAGAGTTCTGTATTATATCTAATTTTATTTTTCAGCATAGTACCTCCAAATTTTCACTTCTCATTTATCATTGTAGGCTGTCTTTAACAATCATGGAAGTAAATCTTATAATAGTACTTTTCATATTGGGTATTAGCTGGCTTTTAATTGTTAATGAAAATTTATATTAGAATATATACATAGTATATTATGTAGGTTTTAACATATGTTCTAATAAAACATTCTATAAATATATATTCTATTTTAATATGTATATTTTAACAGACCTAATATTAGAATATATATACTCAAGTCAGCTTTTAGCTTTATGTAATAATTAAAATTTCATCAACTCTGAAAAAAAAGAACATGAATATAATATCAAAGTTCTCTTCCAATAGACATAAGCAAAATATCCTAAAAGTCAAAATTCAGAAATATAGGTTCAAGTCCTCTTGTGCACAGAAAACAGGTGAATGATGCTCATCTGAATCTGCTTGGTCTTGGCGCTGTAGATGATGGGGTTCATGAACGGAGGAAAGAGAAAGTAAATATAGCTCATGCTAATGTGTACCACATGTGGTGCATGTTTTCCAAACCTGTGGATGAAAGTCAGTCCTATCACTGTGATGTAAAAGACTAGGACACAACTAATATGGGAGATACAGGTGTTGAGGATCTTACCTCGCTCCTCTGCAGAGGCAATGCCCAAAACTGTCTTAAGGATTAGGATATAAGATAAGAGGATAATCAGAGCATCTAGAAAGAAAGTCAAAGCAACCAGGATAACTGGGTATATATGATTAAATGTAATATCAGCACAGGCGAGTTGCATGACATCTTGATGGAGACAGAAGGCGTGGGAAAGAACATGGGAACGGCAATATTGGAACCAATAGAGTGGCATAATTATGGGTACAATAGACACAAAGCCCCTCATCAATACCCCTAGTCCTACCTTAATCACCCTGGAATTGGTAAGAATGGAGTTATACCTCAGAGGGTTTCGTATGGCAACAAAACGGTCATATGCCATAGCAAGCAAGACTCCTGATTCTACGATGGACAAGGTATGTATAAAATAGGACTGGGTAAAACAGGCTTGTTTGGCAACTTCCCTCTGGTCCCACAACAGGACACCCAAGACTGTGGGCATTGTAGTTAGTGTTACCCCAAGGTCTGTACCTGCCAGCATAGCCAGGAAGTAGTACATGGGCCCATGAAGACTGTGGTCATTCTGAATAAGGAGGAGAAGTATGCCATTGCCAAAAAGAATGGAGAGGTAAATGATAACAAAAGGGAAAGAAATCCAGTGGTGAATTGCCTCTGAGCCCAGAAAGCCAGTCAGCAAGAAGGGAGCAGCACTGCTGTTGGACCACATGGTAGGCTTTGCAAGTGGAGAAGAGCTTTCTCAGAGTTAGCATTCTGAATACTTAGCATTCATTCTTCCCCTCCATCTTCTTGTAGCACATCATCAGGTGATGTTTCCCTTTCAAATGTATAAGATTTTGTAGATTGTCTCACTCTTAATTATATATTCACAAAGTCTTTGCCTGCAATAATGAATAACAATAATATTAATCACATTAATAAATATCAACAATTTACTCTTCAGCATCCAACTTTTATTCTGTCAGTCACACACCTTACGTTTATGTATCTATTCTTTACTCCTAGTCCCTCAAATCATTTCTTTGACTCTACTTCATTGTCTCCACTGTCTTATTATATTTCCTATAGACCATTTTTATACTTCTTTCTGATTTGGACTAATTCAGATTTTCTTTCTTGAAATCAATCAGATATTTGTTTCAATGATTAATCACTAAGGAAAATGATTAACCAATAGAAATGAGTCCTCAGCATAAAATGTTTGAGAAACATTGTTATCAATTTTGCCATCTCAAGTGGCCTATGAATAAGAAAGTGACTCGTGAGATTCCAGAGAAATCAGAACAAGTGGGCATAGTGGTCAACTCACTTTAGAACGGTGTGATTACGCAGTGGGCTTGGGACTCAGAACATTTTCAGTGCTGTAAAAATATGTGAGACCTGTAACACCAGAGACAACATTTAAAACAGGAAAAAAAAAAAAAAAAGGACAGAAGTTGAGAGCTTCTTAAAAAAATTAAAGAGGACAGATTCCTAGTACGAAGGTCTCCTCAGAAGTCAGAAACCTAGTACTTATACTGAGCTCCATATTTTAAGAAAAATACATGAGTATCTGAAATGACTAAAGCAATATCAGAATTTAATGATTGAATGCATAAACTTTACACAGCCAATTCTGTAAAAAAGATAAAGACTCACAAATATGTAAAAATATATTGTTGGTGGAAGCAATGATATAGCTATTCTGATATTTATGAATCTAGAAAGTCTATATTTATAAAATTTAAATTTGACTTCTATAGGGAACTTTGAAATATGACTTACTTATAATTATGCTCTTATCAAATCTAGTGACCTTAGCATATAACCAAAAAATTTTGTGGCAATTTGATCATAAAAACAATTAAAAAGAAACACAAAATAAAATAGTTCCTCCAGAATTTTGTGGGCTCTCTATGTGCCCATAGTCTTTTAAATATTGTTTCCTTTTAAAACATCATTATTGGTATACTTGAAGAGGAATTCAGGAAGAATGAAGTGATAGCAATTTTCATACCATTTCCATTTTATAAAAATCTTTGAAAACAAGAATAAATTTTCCTTAGGAATTTGGCCCATGGTGCCATCAGTAATAATGAGCAGTGGTTTGGTGGGGGGAGATGAGTAGAGAAGAGTTTAATGTGTTTTGGAAATGACCACCACTCCAGGGGATAGTCAATGACAAAAAAGTCAATCTAGGAACTGAGGTAGCAATACTTTTTTGATGTGTGATATGCATACATATATGTCATAGGGCCACAAACAGAAATCGGAAAGATTTCAGCTTTTAAGTGATTGATTAATTAACTCTAATCTTAGGTATGAACTAAGATGGGAAAGTAGATCCAGAGAGAAAAGTTGTGAACCTACGAAAATCTCTATTTTAGGACAAAAAGAAGGGTTCCAGATGATATGGACAAAGATATAGGTAGAAATATCAAAGGACAGCAAAGGTAATTTGTTATGACAAAGGCAGTGGAAATTTTAAAACATTAGGCAATGCTGTAGGTTAATAGTGAAAAAATGTCAGAATTGCCAAGTAAGATAAAAATAAAATATATTCATTGTTTTTGGCAAGTAAGCCTTTGGTGATCTTAACATTTTCAACAGAATGGTAAGAATAGGTGTCTAATGATTGTGAAAAACAAAGTGAATAAATAAGAAAGTGAAAACAATGTATTACTTAAATTCTTCAGATGAGAAAATTGAGCCTTCAAGAGGTCAAATAATTTGTCTAGGGTCACACATGTAGCACACAGGAATTCAAACTCAGGTTTACGTGACTCCCAAGCTCACGTTCTCAACCTACATCCATTGAATATAAATGGTAGTTCTCCTGTCCAAGACTGCCTTTCCATATGGCAGCCCCTTCCCTGAATTCTTCACCTCATTAAAAAAGACTTCAGCGCTTTTTTATCCTTTGCAGAAGAATTGCATAGCAATGCAGAAAAGTTACTTCTTTCAATTTAAAAATTTTTCTCAATTACAGTTAACATTCAATATTACATTAGTTTCAAGTAGCAAAGCTACTTTGTTTCAATTTTAAAAATCCATTTAGTCAATGTTCAATATTATATTAGTTTCAGGTGTACAGCATAGTGGTTAGACATTTATATAACTTATAAAGTGATCCCTTCAGTAAATCTTGTACCAACCTGACACCATATATAGTTATTACAATATTATTGCCTATTTCATAAGTTGTGCTTCATTTTGCATCCCCTAGAAGAATGACTCTTACAGCATCCTTGAAGCATTTGCATCCTTGGACTTTCTTACCTAAGCCACAGCTTTCTTTTTGTGGTTCCTCATACAGTCCGATGATTGGCTTGTTGCTGTTTCCTCAGAATGTGTTCAGAGTCCTGATGAGAGGTATATTTGTAAAAGAAACAGTTCCCAAGGGAGCATTTCTAACTTGTTCTTACATGGCTACTTGGGAATATGAAATAATCCTCTTCTTCCCTTTCATCTGAGAGAGATCTGGGCTACTGAAGTTGGTCCTTGTGCTCTCCATTTTTTTCTCTGCATGGAGAATCTCTAAGAAAAGCAGCGTCTCTAATGTCAGTAAAAAAATTTCTAAGTCACTCTCTAGTGTTCTATGGGTCGTAGAATAAAAAGATTGCTCAATTTTTCTTCTTAAATATTGGCACTGGGGAAACAATATCCCATTCCTTTAAAAAAAACACCCAAATTACATTCTCATGCACTATAGTATTTTTAGGAATAACCATCTGAAAAGGCCATCCAATCCTAAAACTGTAATTTAAATTTTTTAAATTAAAATTTTTTTTGAAAATTCTGATTTAAAAAAATAGTGCACATTTTTCAAGAGAAGATGATACAATGGCTAATAACCACATGAAAAAAATATGCAATATTATCAGTCATTTGGAAAAAGCAAATCAAAACCATGAGATACTACGTCATACCTACTAGTTTTGCTATCACCAAAATAACAGAAAACAAGTGTTGGTGAGGATATAGAGAAATTAGAACTCTTTGTATTATGGTGAGAATAGGGTCTGTGAAAAAGTTCAAGTTCCCTATAACCTAACCATTTCATTCATAGGTATGTATACAAAATAATTATAAGTACTCAAACTGATATTTCTTTTTTTAAGCCCCAGCATTATGAAAAGAGTATTAGAAAATACTTGTTTTATAATACAAAGACAAGAAAACAAGTAAGATATAGTTAGGCCCTGTTTCTGCTTAAACTGATACTTCCATGCCAATGTTTATTGATATATTTAAGTCAGATAAAGTCAAATACCCTATGATCTCACTTATATGGGGAATATAAAACAAACAAAACAACAAACAAACTAATTAAAAGATAAGATTTTTGGTTACCAGAGGCAAGGCAGATGGAAGGAGGGAGTTGGAAGAAGGTGTGGTCAAATGTACAAACTTCCAGTTACAAGATAAATAAGTACTAGGAATGATGCCTAGCGTTGACACTGCTGTATGATATAAATGTAACTTGTTAAAAAAGTAAAATGTCACCAATGAATTTACCTCCCACCGTATGCTTTTTCCACCTCAGAAACAATCTTGCTTATTCAAGAGTGGGCAGCCCTCTTGCACCTCTGCAGGAACACTGAAAAGTTGTCCCCGACCCACTGCATGCCTCACAAGCCTGCCAATGACGTTGGTCCGCTGTAGCTTGAATCTTCCATTCCTCCCAGACATGAGTTACAGGTCATTCAATAAATACATTTTGATTTAAAAGCCCATGTCAAGTAGCTGGGAATTTTTTCACTTAGCATGAGTACATTAATGGAATTTTTCATTACAGTTCACTATTATTTATATTAATTTCAGGTATACAGCGTAGTGATTAAATAATCATACACTGTACAAAATAAACCCCTCAATATTTCATGTACCCACCTGGCACTGTGCAGTTATTATAATATTACTGACTAGATTTCCTAAGCTGTACTTTACATCTCTGGGACTGTAAGTCAGACAGAAAAAGACAAATACCATATTTTTTCACTTATATGTGGAATCTAAAGAGTGAAATAGGTGAACAAACAAAACAGAAGCAGGCTCATAGATGTCAAGAACAGACTGCTGGTTGCCAGAGGTAAGGGGTGTTGCAGAGCTAGTTGGAAAAGATGAAGAGATTTAAGAACCACAAATCAGTAGTCAAAATAGTTTTAACCTAAAGGGGCTTGACCAGTTTAACCGGGGTGACTTTCATCAGGTTTAACACTGTAAAAGAGGCAGCCCGTCCCTAAAATTTAACTATCACAGTCAAATACAGTATCACAAAAATGGGTGACCACCACAGAAGTCAGAGATTTCGCATGGCTTCTAGTCTTCAAACATGACTTGCAGTCAGTCTTTCCTCAGCTGTATCTCTAAATCAAGTTCATCAATTGAAATGGGAATGATCTGGGGTAGAAGGTTCTGTTCAGATTCATAGATGTGTTATAGGCCTCATGGACAAATTATGAGGGGCAGAGGAAGATTTTGTGGGTTACCCAGACTTTAAGATTTGGGTTTACGTTCAGCATTAATGGCTTGAGTATTTTACTCTGGGGCATATCTTTCCCTTTATGGAATTTGTGGGGCAATGATTCAGCCTCACAAATAAGTCAGCCTGAAAAAGTTTTAGTAAATAGCCATCTAGAAAACTTCTCCCAATCCCAAATTTTAAACATTTTATGGACTGGATTCCATTTCTCTACGTATTTTTCTGTCTTCCCAATATAGATCACT